TTGGTGCGCGTTGCTATTTATTATGTTTACCACATGCTGTTGATGAGTGACGACCATCCATCACGCGGTAATTTGCTTTTTCCTAGTCTGTTTGCATACCATTTTAGTCGTCTGTGTTTACAGTTCAGGGATGAAACACAGACGTCACCCAATGCAAATACCGGCTAGCTTAAATGAGGTTGTATAATTTGGCTTCTTCACCAATATCAAATAAACAAAGTCGACTGTCCTATTCCTCTTTCCTCTTGTCGCTGCACTTTGCCAGCAGCAATGCTACACTTTCCAATACTTAATGAGTCTGTTCTTTTCACGGCATTGAGTGGGATGTTGATCTGGCCTTATGTTTTTAATCTAACTCGTCAAGTCTTTCCAGGCTCTGACGCGTCGTCCGCAGAATCTTTCGGTCCGTCCAGCAAGTACTCATTTGGTTGGGACAGTGAGAGTATGGCATATCAGCCGACTGGAGGTTGCTGTGCTTTTTAAATTTTAGAGTAAAAATTTTTATGGGATGAGTGTTTACTTGTGTGGATCGCTGTAAGGCGTGGTGCCAATTAGATAAATGATAAGTTTTATGTCTTATTACGACGCAGACAATAGCAATAATACACAAAGCATAACGCTTGGGAATGGCCTACTCAGCAGTGGTTTTAGCAAAAGGGGTTCCGAGGTCGAATAGTTCTGGTTTCGAGACGAAGGTGCCCGAATCCCAGTAGTGTTCAAAGATTGCGACGGCAGAAGCCATAACTGGCGAGCCGGAGATGATGTCGGTGGAGGAGACTGAGAGCCGAAGAAGAAACCGACCCCGCGAAGAATGGTAGGGAGGTTTATAAAGGGTGTAAGAACCGCCCCAACAGAGATGTGATAATTATTTGGAGGGGTTGAAAATGTAAAAATGGTAATTGGGGTAAAGGGGAACGTAAAAAGGGAAAATGGAAATAAGAGTTTTAAGGGGGTTAAGAAAAAGATTGAAAGGAAAAAGAAAAAATAACAAAAGTGGAACGTCTGTGAATGCAGGTGCGTTCCCAAAGATGACTAAAACAGGGTAAAAGACGAATATTTAATGTGGTTTTTTTTTCCATCTACAGCTACCAATATTTTACATTAGCAACAAACGATATCCATGCAAATGCAAGTATATTTCAGGAACAGATACAATGCTTATGTCATCCACACTGCCGACAAATTTTTACGATCAGCCACCAGCACAGAGTTGCTACTCGCAAAATTTCGTGAATCATCCAGCCGTTGGTTAGGGTTTTTTATTTCGATTTTTAATTCTGTATCGGGAATCACGGTTTAAGGCCGTCAACAGACATTTGCTTTTTCATGATCATCCGGCGTTATTGTCTCACTAGCACATGAATAATTCAGTTATTTTTCTTGCAAATGAAACAGAACGAAAATTTTGAGAAAAACAAATTCTCAAATTCTGAAGTCGTTTGAAGCAAAGATGAATGTAATTTTCACCTTCGCTTAGTTAAAGCGTATATGACTTAATGGACCGAAACGTCTTAGCTCAATCCTGCTTCCTTTCCATATTCTTTCCTGCTCTGTATCTTGCGCACCTTGCAAGCTTTGGCATCGTAGATCAACCTGGATACCACAATCGGCTTAATGAAGAAATGCTAAGCATTGCATTAGACTTGAAAAAATT